TGTCGAGTGTTTTAAATTTTATTGGCGTTATTATTGTTCTGATAGTATTCACTGCCAAGCCTAGCCTAGCCTAACTTAGCCTAACCTACCCTAACCTAACCTAGCCTAGCAGCAGGACTAAAAAAGCAGTGAAAGTGAAATAAACTTGATCACTTGTGCTAGCCAAAGTACACTGAAAGTACACGTAAATATATTGAACTCTTCCCAGGGTCATATGAATATATAATGAGGTCTGTGGGTCACGTGACAACACTAAATCTCACTACATGGAATAACGGGACCGGTCGACCACTGCTGTCGTCAACATGAAATGTCGTTAAGACACGACAACATCACGACATTGGACAAACGGTAGGACATTGGACACACGGTAGGACATTGGACAAACTGTAGGACATTGGACAAACGGTAGGACATTGGACAAACTGTAGGACATTGGACGCAAAGCAGGACGTTGGGAAAAGTGTACGTAAAGAATCAGACTAGGACATTCCGCTGTTTCATCACCCAAGACTATCAAGTTGTACATTAACCCATGACGATATCTAATTTGTTTTCCATCAACTTTTACCATCATATACCATTTTGACAGTAATTTAAAACAGCCATCCTTAAACAGCCATCATTAAACAGCCCTATGACAACAGGCTACACTTTGTGACCAGACGTGATTCTGTGGTCAGCAAAGACGGGACCCCCCCCCCTCCCCCACCCCTTCCCACCCCCACCCACCAATAGTTTAATCATTGTAAGCTGATGTAAAAAAAAAACTGTTTTTCAAATATTTCTTTGATAAATTTGACATTTTGACAAGACGTCACTCCGGTACCCCCCCCCCATCCTGGGGGACACGGTGATCACGTGACCTATTATTCTACCTGTGACAGCTATCACTGACAACAAAGATGTTCCCCATCAAAGAAGTCAAATAGTTTGTGTTTACTCAAAAATGTGAAAAATGATGCTATTCATTAAAGTTGGTAGCCATTTTCTTTGATGTGAATTGTCTGGGTCGTATTTAGAAGGGGGGGGGGGGTGACAGAGCAGCAATCAGAGGTCAAAGACATCAACATACACCACCTGGGCGTTTACTTCTGCACCCGATTTGATGGCATAGAGTAGACGTCCATTTACCGCTACCAAAGCTATCACGTGACTTTCCTTTTTCACATCTTATCCAATTTGTGGTCAGAGACTGGTCAGAGACTGGTCGTATTCAAACATTTTGGTAATTTTTTTTTTGTAATCAGTCAGCCTCTAGTTGGAGTCGTGGTGTTGGAGTCGTGGTGTTGGAGTCGTGGTGTTGGAGTCGTGGTGTTGGAGTCGTGGTGTTGGAGTCGTGGTGTTGGAGTCGTGGTGTTGGAGTCGTGGTGTTGGAGTCGTGGTGTTGGAGTCGTGGTGTTGGAGTCGTGGTGTTGGAGTCGTGGTGTTGGAGTCGTGGTGTTGGAGTCGTGGTGTTGGAGTCGTGGTGTTGGAGTCGTGGTGTTGGAGTCGTGGTGTTGGAGTCGTGGTGGTGTTGGAGTCGTGGTGTTGGAGTCGTGGTGTTGGAGTCGTGGTGTTGGAGTCGTGGTGTTGGAGTCGTGGTGTTGGAGTCGTGGTGTTGGAGTCGTGGTGTTGGAGTCGTGGTGGTGTTGGAGTCGTGGTGGTGTTGGAGTCGTGGTGTTGGAGTGGTGGTGTTGGAGTCGTGGTGGTGTTGGAGTCGTGGTGTTGGAGTCGTGGTGTTGGAGTCGTGGTGTTGGAGTCGTGGTGTTGGAGTCGTGGTGTTGGAGTCGTGGTGTTGGAGTCGTGGTGTTGGAGTCGTGGTGTTGGAGTCGTGGTGTTGGAGTCGTGGTGTTGGAGTCGTGGTGTTGGAGTCGTGGTGTTGGAGTCGTGGTGTTGGAGTCGTGGTGTTGGAGTCGTGGTGTTGGAGTCGTGGTGGTGTTGGAGTCGTGGTGTTGGAGTCGTGGTGTTGGAGTCGTGGTGTTGGAGTCGTGGTGTTGGAGTCGTGGTGGTGTTGGAGTCGTGGTGGTGTTGGAGTCGTGGTGGTGTTGGAGTCGTGGTGTTGGAGTGGTGGTGTTGGAGTCGTGGTGGTGTTGGAGTCGTGGTGGTGTTGGAGTCGTGGTGTTGGAGTCGTGGTGTTGGAGTCGTGGTGTTGGAGTCGTGGTGTTGGAGTCGTGGTGTTGGAGTCGTGGTGGTGTTGGAGTCGTGGTGTTGGAGTCGTGGTGTTGGAGTCGTGGTGTTGGAGTCGTGGTGTTGGAGTCGTGGTGTTGGAGTCGTGGTGTTGGAGTCGTGGTGTTGGAGTCGTGGTGGTGTTGGAGTCGTGGTGGTGTTGGAGTCGTGGTGTTGGAGTGGTGGTGTTGGAGTCGTGGTGGTGTTGGAGTCGTGGTGGTGTTGGAGTCGTGGTGTTGGAGTCGTGGTGTTGGAGTCGTGGTGGTGTTGGAGTCGTGGTGGTGTTGGAGTCGTGGTGTTGGAGTCGTGCTGTTGGAGTCGTGCTGTTGGAGTCGTGGTGGTGTTGGAGTCGTGGTGGTGTTGGAGTCGTGGTGGTGTTGGAGTCGTGGTGTTGACGCCATTATGTTGGAGTCATAAACACCATACAACCCACACACGACGGCCTATAAAGAGAGGCGTGTCCTCCATGTTTTTTCTCGACATCAAATGACGGATATGTTCAGTCTTCATGCATAGCTGTCATCTCGTCTTTACAACTGCTGGTCTTAATGTCATCTCGCCGGAGAAAAAAACTAATCAAAACAAGAGTTTTTTGTCGTGTTTATTCAGTGCTTGCCTCTGTAGGCAGTTCTTTTATTCACTTTTTTTGGTATGTGTGTGTGGATTTGTGTGTGAGTGTACAGTGTACAGTGTGTGTGTGTATTTGTGTGTGGGTAGCACAGCCATTTCGAAAACATCTCTATACAAGAAGGGGGTATGACAGGTGACTGAAAGGTGTGTGAGGGGTTTCATTGGTGGCTGGGGATTGTCATTGGCTACTGGGGAGTGTCTGAAAGAAGTATACTTTTAATTCAAAGGTTAAACCAACGTTCATGAGTTAATTAGTTAATTAGTTCTGTTTTAGTGAGCTTATGGACTTGTCAATCAACCATTTATTGACTAGCAGGTTACTAGAGTCACATGATAAGGGCAGAGTCACTTACAGGGAGCATTTAACTAACGGGCACAGCCACCACTAGATCTAGATGTGTACAGAGATGTGTACAGAGATGTATACAGAGATGTGTACAGAGATGTATACAGAGATGTATACAGAGATGTGTACAGAGATGTGTACATAGATGTATACAGAGATGAACCAAAATTTGACCCAACAACCTTCAGTAGAATAAAACATACCTGCACCACATAGGCAACCCCCAATATGTAGACCGACAAAGATTAAATATCGTTGTGTTAATGTATTCTGATCGATACTGGCCTAATCGATACCTGACAACACATTGTAGTCGCATTGTTTCAACATGTCGCCTTATCTCTGGAATGTCGACACGAATCTCTCGCTTAGGTGATTCGAGTTACCAGTCAGGTATTGTATGTGCTATGTTGGCCCAGTTAGGTATTGTATGTGCTATGTTGGCCCAGTTAGGTATTGTATGTGCTAAGTTGGCCCAGTTAGGTATTGTATGTGCTATGTTGGCCCAGTCAGGTATTGTATGTGCTAAGTTGGCCCAGTTAGGTATTGTATGTGCTAAGTTGGCCCAGTTAGGTATTGTATGTGCTATGTTGGCCCAGTCAGGTACTGTATGTGCTAAGTTGGCCCAGTTAGGTATTGTATGTGCTATGTTGGCCCAGTCAGGTATTGTATGTGCTATGTTGGCCCAGTTAGGTATTGTATGTGCTAAGTTGGCCCAGTTAGGTATTGTATGTGCTATGTTGGCCCAGTCAGGTATTGTATGTGCTATGTTGGCCCAGTTAGGTATTGTATGTGCTATGTTGGCCCAGTTAGGTATTGTGTGTGCTATGTTGACCCAGTCAGGTATTGTATGTGCTATGTTGGCCCAGTCAGGTATTGTATGTGCTATGTTGGCCCAGTTAGGTATTGTATGTGCTATGTTGGCCCAGTTAGGTATTGTGTGTGCTATGTTGACCCAGTCAGGTATTGTATGTGCTATGTTGGCCCAGTCAGTTATTGTATGTGCTATGTTGGCCCAGTCAGTTATTGTATGTGCTATGTTGGCCCAGTCAGTTATTGTATGTGCTATGTTGGCCCAGTCAGTTATTGTATGTGCTATGTTGGCCCAGTCAGTTATTGTATGTGCTATGTTGGCTCAGTTAGAAATGTCATATGATGACAAGATTTAAGATGGAATCACATAAGCGATCAAGTGAACTCACACATTTTCACAGATCAGATACAAACACTTGACAAGTCAACTCTGACAAGTCAACTATGACAAGTCAACTCTGACAAGTCAACTCTGACAAGTCAACTCTGACAAGTCAACTCTGACAAGTCAACTCTGACAAGTCAACTATAACCCGTTTAATTATGACAGGTCGACTATGACAGGTAAAATTATGGCAGGTACAGAATGTCAAACGTTAACAATGTCCGCTATAGTCTTAAACTCTTGTTTCTTTAAATGTTTTTTGACTGTTACACAAGGAGCTATAACACGACCCTGTCAGGGGATTTTAATACGCTAGTCAGGGGACGTAACCATTAAATACTTCTAAAAGTATTTGCTAGTTTTGTGTGTGATTGTCTCCCGCTTTAACCCCATTAAAAAACGTGGCCTAAAAATAAAGGAAGAAAATTTTAATCTACTAAAAACATGTTTGGGTGTGAACGTTTCGTGTTCTATTCGTCTACAGCTACAGGTCGCGCAAGTACAACAGTCAGCCGGGCACTTGCATATGTGGAGACAAATGTCTATGGAACTAGACGGACACTGTATGTCTATGTAGAAAGACATGTAACTAAGACACCAGTATAGGTGGGCCTATGTGGGAAGACATGTGAGACAGAGACACCGGCCTATGTAACTAAGACAGAGACAGCGGCCTACCTTCCTGGAACATCTTCCCCTCCATCTCAGCAGACGGCGAGAGGCCGGTGCTGACCCTCCGCTTGACCGTGCTCTGGGAGATGACCGCCCGTCTCTGGAGCTCCAGACTGTGGAGCAGCTCGGGGGACAGCGTCTCGTCCACCTGCCCCTCCCTCTTGACCACGATCCTGGGCTGGACCATGTCAGCAAACTGTCTGGCCCTCTCCACCAGCTCCTGGCTCCTGGGGGAGGCGGGGTGGGGCGTCTGGTGGGGGGTGGGAATGTCTATCAGAAGGGGTGTGCGGGGGTGGCTGGGTGACGTCTCTGTGGACTTGGTCACCGTGACGGTCAGCTCTGGTTCCTCTAGCGTACTGCACAGGCTGGAGGTCAAGATGCCACTGTCACCTGCAGAGGTCAGGTCACAGGTCAACAGGTGCTACTGGGGGAGGGGGGCATGTAGGTGGTAAATTGGGGGAGGAGTGTGGCATGTAGGTGGTAAATTGGGGGAGGGGGCATGTAGGTGGTAAATTGGGGGAGGGGGCATGTAGGTGGTAAATTGGGGGAGGAGGGGGCGTGTAGATGGTAAATTGGGGGAGGGGGCATGTAGATGGTAAATTGGGGGAGTGGAGCTTGTAGGTGGTAAATTGGGGGAGGGGGCATGTAGGTGGTAAATTGGGGGAGGGGACATGTAGGTGGTAAATTGGGGGAGGGGCATGTAGGTGGTAAATTGGGGGAGGGGACATGTAGGTGGTAAATTGGGGGAGGGGACATGTAGGTGGTAAATTGGGGGAGGGGCATGTAGGTGGTAAATTGGGGGAGGGGACATGTAAGTGGTAAATTGGGGGAGTGGAGCTTGTAGGTGGTAAATTGGGGGAGGGGGCATGTAGGTGGTAAATTGGGGGAGGGGACATGTAGGTGGTAAATTGGGGGAGGGGGCATGTAGGTGGTAAATTGGGGGAGGGGGCATGTAGGTGGTAAATTGGGGGAGGGGACATGTAGGTGGTAAATTGGGGGTGGGGGGCATGTAGGTGGTAAATTGGGGGAGGGGGCATGTAGGTGGTAAATTGGGGGAGGGGGGCATGTAGGTGGTAAATTGGGGGAGTGGAGCTTGTAGGTGGTAAATTGGGGGAGGGGGCATGTAGGTGGTAAATTGGGGGAGTGGAGCTTGTAGGTGGTAAATTGGGGGAGGGGGGCATGTAGGTGGTAAATTGGGGGAGGGGGGCATGTAGGTGGTAAATTGGGGGAGTGGAGCTTGTAGGTGGTAAATTGGGGGAGGGGGCATGTAGGTGGTAAATTGGGGGAGTGGAGCTTGTAGGTGGTAAATTGGGGGAGGGGGGCATGTAGGTGGTAAATTGGGGGAGGGGGCATGTAGGTGGTAAATTGGGGGGAGGGGGGCATGTAGGTGGTAAATTGGGGGAGGAGGGGGCGTGTAGATGGTAAATTGGGGGAGGGGGCATGTAGATGGTAAATTGGGGGGAGGAGGGCATGTAGGTGACAAGTTAATGGGATGGGACATATAGGAGGTAAGTTACTAGGGGGAGGGGCATGTAAGAAACACGTTAATGAGGGAGGTCTAGGTTACAAGTTACTAGGGGGATGGGACATATAGGAGGTAAGTTACTAGGGGGAGGGGCATGTAAGAAACACGTTATGAGGGGTTGTAGGTTACAAGTTACTAGGGGAGAGGGCATGGAGGTAAGTTACTAGGGGGAGGGGCATGTAGGAGGTAAGTTACTAGGGGGAGGGACATATAGGCGATAAATTACTACGGGGAGGGGCATGTTACTAGGGGACATGTAGGAGACTAATAGGGGAGGTGGGGCATGGAAGCAAGTTACTAGATGAAAGGTCAAACCAGTACCGGAAATACCCTTTTCAATCAAGCACAAAGAGAAACAATGATCGTGTCAAATATTTGGCGTCAGAGCGTGAACCAGCTATAGAAGAAAGATTGAGACAGCTTGGCCACATCAATCATACACATTAATCATGGGGTGGTGATGGTGGGGGTGTGTTGTGTGTGTGTGGGGGGGGGGGGGGGGGGTGACGCTAATGGCTGTAAATGACAACACGAGGTGTGAACATATGTTGATGAAAACATCTTTTGACATCAACATTAGGCCGACATACATGACCCAAGGACAACATCACACATAAAAAGTATAGGAAGGGAAATGAAAAAATCCTCACCTAAAGAATTGTCTCCCTTATGTGCCCCACCATCATCAGAGCTGTCCAAGTTGTCCTCCAGTTCAGACCTCACGTCAACTTTGACCTCTGTAAGGTCAACATTAACATCGGTTAGGTTAACTTTGAACTCATTAAGGTCAAGCTTGGTCAGCCCATTGGTGCCCGTTGAATTCTCTAGAAAATCGTCGCGAATATTTTTCTCAGTTCTAGGGGAGGTAAGACCGAAGAAATCAGATCTCAGGTCAGCACAGGTTTTTGGTGGGTTGTTTCCCTTTCCTTCCGTGGACAGGGCTAGTGTAGATGGCGCTTTGGCTGACACATGGTTACTGCCAGTTGGCACATGGTTACTGACAGTTGACACATGGTTCCTGGCGGCTTGGCTGAACTGGGTTTGAACCGAGTATTCCACGATGATCTCCTCCCCCACTGCCCCCCTCTGTACACCCGTGGGCGGGCCACCTGCTGGTATTGGGGGTGGGGGTGAGCTAGGGAGGGGCGGGGGCTCAGCATCCGAGTCCGACACGTCACTGCCAAACATGGCTGTCTGTAAATCGTCTGCTATATTCAAGCTTGGTTTTGGCGGACTTGACTTCCGGTTAGTTTTAGACATGTTGTCTGATAGGCTCATCAAAATAAGGTCAAACTCGTCACTTCCGGATGTCTTTATATTGGGAGTTACGGCGCTTTGTTCTAGCCACTCGGTCACGTGATGCTGGTCTGTGTCAGAGGCCAGATTGTGTTGGGGTCTAGAGTTGAGTTCCAGCAGTAAATCTACGCTGGGGTCTGCTCTGGTGGTCAGGCTAGCCTCACCTGACGTCACACCTGACGTCACACCTGACGTCACACCTGACGTCACACGTGACGTCACACGCTCGATTGGAAATGTCTCCTTTGATTGTGTTCTATCAACAACTCCATTGTCGTTTGTAGAAGGCTGAGTGCTGTTTGTTAGTTGGTTCACTGAGGTCAAAGGTGAACTGGGTGACGTCAGTTCCTGTGAGGTGTCAATAGATTCCTTTCTTTTCTTCAGTCTAGGGGGCCGCTGGGGTTTTAACTCAGGTGAGATAACACCTGCAGATATCTCCGTGTCTACGTGGAGAGGGGCGGTCTTCACCTGACTGTTATCTGCAGGACACGGCGAGTCGGTGTCACTAACGGTGCCAGTACTGGGGGGTGTAGGGGGAGCTGCAGTTAGCGACCTGACGTCTGAGATAAAAACATCCTGTGAGAGGCTAGCTGGAGGCGGGGCTTGGATTATTGTAGGTGGGGCTTGGTTGGTTATAGGCGGGGCTTGGTTGGTTATAGGTGGAGCTTGATTGGTTATAGGCGGGGCTTGGTTGGTTAAAGGCGGGGCTTGGTTGGTTAAAGGTGGGGCTTGGTTGATTATAGGCGGAGTTTGGTTGGTTATAGGCGGGGTTTGGTTGGCTATAGGTGGGGTAGAACCAACTAAAGAATAGCCAACTGTAGAGTCAAAGCTTTCAGTTAATGCAGCAGAAGGTGAAGGGGTGGATGGAGGGGGCGGTGCTCGAACTTTCTTGGATGACCTAAGTGGTGCGACAGGCTCTGCTATGGATACGTCCTTGACCTTGTGGATTAGTTGCGAATCCACGGATTTGGATCTTGAAAGCTCTGTGCGACTGCCCTGGAGAAGCTGGGCGCGTTCAGCTGACACGGGCGCGGGCGTGGGCTCTACATTGATGGGGCGCCCCAGCGCTATCGAGGCTAGCTCGAGAGAGAGGTTGTCCTTCTTCCGGCTGGTCCGAAGTGTCAAGGCCGAGTTGTCGGCCTTTGGCGCTCTATCTGGCGGCGCTGAGTTGCGGGGCGTTGAGTCGTCTGCTCCACTTTCCAGCTCTGGTGGCGACGTCTGGCTAGAAGATTCTGGAACTGACGCGGCGGATGTCAAATTCTGGGAGCGTCTGTTGTGCCGGTACGAGCCGGAAGTCGTGTCGACGCTGGCACTTCTCTGGCCGGAGTAGCTATAGCGCTGTCTGGAACCGCTGCTAGACTTGAGGCGGTCGGTGACAGACCTTCTCTGGACGCGAGTCTTGGCCTCCTCTTGTCGAGCCAGCTGGCGAGAGTTGTAGTCGTCTGGGTTTCTCTGGGGAGTTCAATCAATGGTAACTTTAAATGGTAGCTTTAAATGGTAGCTTTAAATGGTAACTTTAAATGGTATCTTTAAATGGTAGCTTTCAATGGTAACTTTAAATGGTAACTAAATGGTAGCTAAATGGTAACTTTAAATGGTAGCTTTAAATGGTAGCTTTAAATGGTAGCTTTAAATGGTAGCTTTAAATGGTAGCTTTAAATGGTAACTTTAAATGGTATCTTTAAATGGTAGCTTTAAATGGTAACTTTAAATAGCACCTTTAAATGGTAGCATTAAATGGTAGCTTTCATGGTAACTTTAAATAGTAACTTTAAATGGTAGCTTTAAATGGTAATTTTAAATGGTACTTTTAAAAGGTAACTTAAATGGTACCTTTAAATGGTAACTTTAAATGGTAACTTTAAATGGTATCTTTAAATGGTAGCTTTAAATGGTAGCTTTCAATGGTAACTTTAAATGGTAACTAAATGGTAGCTAAATGGTAGCTTTAAATGGTAGCTTTAAATGGTAACTTTAAATAGCACCTTTAAATGGTAGCATTAAATGGTAGCTTTCAATGGTAACTTTAAATAGTAACTTTAAATGGTAGCTTTAAATGGTAATTTTAAATGGTACTTTTAAAAGGTAACTTAAATGGTACCTTTAAATGGTAACTTTAAATGGTAACTTTAAATGGTATCTTTAAATGGTAGCTTTAAATGGTAGCTTTCAATGGTAACTTTAAATGGTAACTAAATGGTAGCTAAATGGTAGCTTTAAATGGTAGCTTTAAATGGTAACTTTAAATAGCACCTTTAAATGGTAGCATTAAATGGTAGCTTTCAATGGTAACTTTAAATAGTAACTTTAAATGGTAGCTTTAAATGGTAATTTTAAATGGTACTTTTAAAAGGTAACTTTAAATGGTACCTTTAAATGGTACCTTTAAATGGTAACTTTAAATGGTACCTTTAAATGATAGCTTTAAATGATAGCTTTAAATGGTAGCTTTAAATGGTAGCTTCAAATGGTACCTTTAAATAGTAGCATTAAATGGTAGCTTTAAATGGTATCTTTAAATGGTAACTTTAAATAGTAACTTTAAATGGTAGCATTAAATGGTAACTAAATGGTAGCTTTCAATGGAAATTTTAAATAGTAACTTTAATTGGTAGCTTTAAATGGTAATTTTAAATGGAACCTTTAAATGGTAACTTTGAATGGTAATTAAATGGTAGCTTTAAATGGTAATTCTAAATGGTAGCTTTAATTGGTAATTTTAAACGGTAGCTTTATAAGGTACTTTTAAATGGTAACTTTAAAATCGTACCTTTAAATGGTAACTTTAAAATCGTATCTTTAAATGGTAACCTTAAATAGTAACCTCGAATAGTAACTTTAAATGGTAGTTTTAAACGGTAAAATAAAATGGTAGCTTTAATTGGTAGCTTCAAACGCTACCGTTAAATGGTAACGTTAAATGGTAACCTTAAATAGTAACTTTAATGGTAACTTTAAATAGTATCTTTAAATTTAATTTTCAAAGACATAAATGGTAACTTCCGATATTGACTTTTAATGTTAACTTCATGTAGTGTAATTGTATGAACAATGCCACCATAATCTTTACACACAGCACGCCAACCTGGTGGTCGGGTGAGCTAGCGACACCTGCTGGTCTCAGGTTTCAATCCTACTGGGTGAGTACACTTGACGCTACAAGTAGGGTGAGTACACTTCACGTTACACGTACTCAAACCTCCAGTAGAAATGTTACACTGAGTAGCCTAACACACCACGCGCACACTCAACACGGTGGTGGTAATGACGTGTAGAACACACACATACCGTTTCTATGGTAACGTCCTAACAACCAGCAAGCCACGGGGTTGATGCAAGTGTCAACACAAACAAGCAATTAATCCTAGCAACCTTGACATTGATCCCGTGTGGCCGAGGTGTGATACACAGCCACACACCAGCTGGCACAGACGTGTATCGACTGGGTGACGTAGATCAGTGGACCGATCGTTGATTGCTGCTCACTACAGCACGCTCGGACAGCTCTGAGCTAAACTGGTCTGACAGTGGAGCTAAAGGATGGCATGTTCCAACAACCCTTAGTTCAAAGCTGTAGTGTTGATCTACGTGAAGTACATACCAACTGAATGCATTCATTAAAAAAAAAGAACCCAACTTTCCACAGCTCAAACAATTGAATTATTTGATGTTTTCGTTCCTTTAGAATTGGTCATAGCGGTCATCACATATCGTCCTACTTTGATGTTTTTTTTTTATCGAACACCGGCTAGTCTAGTTTACATCCCAGCATACAGAGCACGTCTATAGCACGTCAACACAACATATGCCACATATAGGGCACACACCAACACCACACACTAATACAACACAGCACATTGAGCAGACCAAAGGATAAATTAAATCTACCTTAAGGCTTATGAAAGCTTCAAATCTTCTAAATCCCCCTCCCTATCCCCCCCCCCCCCCCCTTGTAGCGCGGGAAAAGTTCTGTCGACAGTCGTGTTATCTCCAATTTACATCTTCCATCCAGTCCACGAGAGTAGAGATCGAATCTTCTAGATACACCACATTCTGACCTCTGTCTTACCTGTCTCGTCTGCTTGTGGTCTCTATTTGAAAGGTAATCCAGCGCTACCAACGTTTACCCACACAATAATATTCGCAGCGACAATATTTCCACACTACTATAAGCGATACTAAACCTACTTCAATCACAGAAAACAGGGCGTGTTAACACCCCAGTCAAAGTACGATACTACAGGATCGATACTGAATAACACAACTGAAACGAGAAAATTTGAAAGAAGTTTTTTTTGAGAAACTTACAATAGAAGTAGATAGTGTGTGCCGTGTGTGTTGTGATGCATGAATGGATGGATGTGAGAGAAGGCAGTGATGTTTGTGTGTGTTCGTGTGTGTGTGTGTGTGTGTTTGTGTACGTATATGTGCACGTGTGAGTGATACATTAGACACGATCGTCAGCGACAAATTCCCGGCACAAAAATACATAGCAAGTACAATTTGTAAAATTAGACATTGGATATTTTAAAATTTTACACATTGGACAATTTTTAATTAAGGCTTTGAATTATTTCTATTTTAATGATGTTTTTTTTTACTTCAATTTGTAATTGTGTTTTATTGTTCTTGTGACTTTTTATAACTTCAAACTCTGTCTGTTGTTTTAACAGAATGTGATGTATTGCTTGTAATGAGATGGACAAAAAATGTTGACGACAAAATTTGAAAGACCTTTTCTTCTCTGTTATTGTGGCAATGTCCGCATTTAGAACGCCAGTAGCCTGAATACACTACTGGACTTTGATTGATTAGATGGGTTACGGTACATTCTGCTTCAATGGAAGCGAATTAATAATTTAATGACAACTAGACAAGCTTAGACAGATTGATTTAGTGAAGACAAGCTTAGACAGATTGATTTAGTGAAGACAAGCTTAGACAGATTGATTTAGTGAAGACAAGCTTAGACAGATTGATTTAGTGAAGACAAGCTTAGACAGATTGATTTAGTGAAGGATCTGGTGTCTACCTTACTGACAGAGAAGTGACGTCAGAGTTGTGACGTGGAGGTGATGCGATCAGGACAGTGGTGTCAGGACAGCGGTGGTGTCAGGACAGCGGTGGTGTCAGGACAGCGGTGGTGTCAGGACAGCGGTGGTGTCAGGACAGCGGTGGTGTCAGGACAGCGGTGGTGTCAGGACAGTGGTGTCAGGACAGCGGTGTCAGGACAGCGGTGTCAGGACAGTGGTGTCAGGACAGTGGTGTCAGGACAGTGGTGGTGTCAGGACAGTGGTGTCAGGACAGCGGTGGTGTCAGGACAGCGGTGGTGTCAGGACAGCGGTGGTGTCAGGACAGTGGTGTCAGGACAGTGGTGTCAGGACAGTGGTGTCAGGACAGCGGTGGTGTCAGGACAGCGGTGGTGTCAGGACAGTGGTGTCAGGACAGTGGTGGTGTCAGGACAGTGGTGGTGTCAGGACAGTGGTGGTGTCAGGACAGTGGTGTAAGACAGCGGTGGTGTCAGGACAGTGGTGGTGTCTGGACAGTGCTGTCAGTGGTGTCAGGACAGTAGTGTCAGTGGTGTCAGGACAGTGGTGTCAGGACAGTGGTGTCAGTGGTGTCAGGACAGTGGTGTCAGGACAGTGGTGGTGTCAGGACAGTGGTGGTGTCAGGACAGTGGTGTCAGGACAGTGGTGGTGTCAGGACAGTGGTGTTAGGACAGTGGTGTCAGGACATTGGTGGTGTCAGGACAGTGGTGGTGTCAGGACAGTGGTGGTGTCAGGACAGTGGTGGTGTCAGGACAGTGGTGGTGTCAGGACAGTGGTGTCAGTGGTGTCAGGACAGTGGTGGTGTCAGGACAGTGGTGTCAGTGGTGTCAGGACAGTGGTGGTGTCAGGACAGTGGTGTTAGGACAGTGGTGGTGTCAGGACAGTGGTGGTGTCAGGACAGTGGTGTTAGGACAGTGGTGTTAGGACAGTGGTGTCAGGACAGTGGTGTCAAGACAGTGGTGTTAATAAAGGATAATAAGTTTGCAATAAGATGTAGTTAATTTGCAAAAGGAGATTGTTAATTTGAAAGAAAAAAATTGAAATTATTTGAATAACTGGTCAGTTTACGGCTGCTAAAAATTAGAGTTGTTCATAATACACTTATGACTTTTCCCTTGTAGCACCCCACCCCTCCCCTCGCTACCATAACCACTTCCTTTTTTTCCCATCAATGCCGGGCACTACTGTGAACTGAGGTCAGAGTTTAAATAAAATGTCTGTATGTTTGTGTGCAGTGTTTCTTCCAGAATTTTTTCTACTGGGGGGGGGGGGGGACTTAAAATTTTCGGGGGGGGGGGGGGGGTCGGTAGACTTTCTTGGGGGACAGGGGACGAACACTGTTGAAAGTATATCTTTTCTATATAAATTTCATTTCGTTCGGGGGAGGGGGGCGGTAGACTTTCT